TGGAATGGGTAGGACAAAGCGAGGAAGTGCAGAATTTGTCTTGAAGGTGAGGAATAGGAATTACGTGTCCTCGGCGACGACCCATGTCCCGGAGAGGAATGTGCTCTCCAGCCCTGCGCCTCTCGCTGTTGCTGCTTGCTGACAGGGGGTGCGTGAGAGGTAGGGCTGGGCAATGAGTCGCTTTAGCAAAATCCGAATAATATGTTAGCGCCCCTCTTCGGCATTATGATATAACCGCTTTGGCAAATGGGTTAGAACCACTTCAACAAACGGGTTAGCACTACTTCAACAAAGGGGTGCACCCACTTCGGCAAACGGGTCAGGAAAGAGAGATAAGAGTCTGAATTCGGATAAATGTTTCATTGAGAATTATCCGGTTATCTTATAGATTATCCGGATTTTGCCCATCTCTAGTGAGAGGTGTCCCCTGAGCGACGGAGGGCGGAGATAACCGCTGTGACACAGGCCCGGGACCGGGCACCGGTCGGCCGTGACCCGCGGGATCCGACGTCTCGAGATGTTATCCTCGACGCTGACAAGTTTTACAGCCTGGCGTTGACATGGGTTTGCTGGCGTCACAGCAGCAACGTTACTGAAAAAGATTATTGTTCTTCGTATGTCATGTGGAGCGAAACTTTTTTGGGTTTGAAGCTGTTACTTTTAAGTAGACAAAAGATTCTTTGTACGGTTCTTACAAAGCAGCTTACCGAAAATCCCCGCCAAGTTCTGTCATCATCATCATCATCATCATCATCATCATCATCATCATCATCATCATCATCATCATCATCGTCGTTGTCGACGTCCTTGATCTCGTTGCCATCATTACTAAGAGCACCATCACCACCGCCACCAACAACAGCGACACCAGCAAAATAGAAAGACCAAAAGAAGCAACAACGAATCTAAAAAAGGCACTTCCTCAGCAAAAGCAATGCAGCAGCGAAAGCAACCACGTCGTTATCAACTGCAACAATATAGATCTAGTAATAATAATAATAATAATAATAATTGCAATATATAGCACTTTTTCAGAATGAAGTGCTCAATGCATTGTACAATAATACAAATAATATATGCAGCGCACAGCTCCTATAGTATTCCTCTTTCTCTCTCTCTCTCTCTCACTCAGTCTCTGTCTCTGTCTCATATAGGGCAGGCAATCGTAAACTGACCTCATATCTCACGGGCCACATCCTCTGTGTCAGATCGACTTGGCTCACGGTCTGTGCTGTGCACGCACTTGGCAAAGAATACACCCATGTTCATTAGCCGTGGTGTGCTCTCTCTCGCCCTTGTTCTATCGTGTTATCTGTTTGTGGGAAAGGCGCCCTGATTTCGCCATTCGAATTTCCGTTCTTTTTAATTTTGCGTGTGTTGGATTCGGAATGAAACGTGCCTTTAAAAAAAATGTATTTCTTTAACTCGATCACTGCGATATAATGTTACATTTACGATTGCAGATAAATCAATTCTCTGAGTTCAAGATACTAAGGGGACAAAAGGGTGAACGGGGGAGGAGGATGTGGCCATCATATTGATTTTAGACATTCCTTATAATGTACTTATAATAGGTAATCTCTGTCTTTATCAGCCATCGCCTTTCCTTTTATTCCTTCCTTTTTCTCTCCCTCCACAGTCACTCTCTCTCTCTCTCTCTCTCTCTCTCTCTCTCTCTCTCTCTCTCTCTCTCTCTCTCTCTCTCTCTCTCAATCTCTCTCTTTCTCTCCTTTTTTTTTCGACATGAATAAAAATAGAACAGCGGGCTAAATTCTAGGAACTTGGAAGGAGATTTCCATCGAGTTATAGTGGCTTATACAGTATGCTGTCTTAAAAGAAAGCTCGTTTAATTCTAACGTTTGTACACTTTTACACAATTCAGAAGGCGGGCTGCTTCGCGCTTGGTCAGACTGAGCGGTATTCTATTCTTCATCAGAAAGACGGAGATACAAAATAGTCCACAAGCTGTTTAAATGCGCTAAACCAGAATTTTATGTATTTCTTCTTATAGCTGCAGCTTCTTAATTAACCTGCTGTATAGGCTGCACGTGCTCGAGAAATACTTTGTTGAAATTGAAATTCTGAATGCTGATAAAAGCAACAACAGCAAAAATGCATTATGCAAGTATAGTTTCTAAAAGAACCAAACAGGTTTTTCTGTGCCCTGAAAACAAAATTGGTTTTTGAGCTTAAACATTCGAATAGTTTGCCGACGGAATATTTGAGCTTAGAGCATTCAAATAGTTTGCCGCCGGAATAGAATAACACCCTTTTAATCAAAACTACGTTTATTGCATACATGGCCAAATACTTCACTGCTACTTTGCAGACAAACGCCTGTACGAATTGTATTCGAAGTAAAATATATACGAACATGACATGAAGTTCATTCTAAAAAAATGCTGAAAAAGAACGAGCATAAAATATTATTATTAATCAGTTAGGGGTCAGGGAACATGCGATTCAACATAAATGAATTTAATAATAGCTTTTCTGAAAGACCCTCATAAACGACTGTTATCGGGGGGGAAAAAGTCATGATATGGTGTGTAAGACACGGGGGTAGATTGATTGATTGTACTGTGTTTGGATTCCCCATTGACATAATCTAGGTCGTTTAGGAGTCTGGCTGCTTCCCCATGCAAGTCAAGGCCAGGTCAGACTGAGTAGGAAAAAGCATCCCAGCAGACAGACCAAAGTACTCGATGAAATATACTTAAGAAAATAAATTTCTCCATTATAAGATTCGAACTCATATTATTTTTATCCTTTACTTCCAAGGTGAGGAGCCTATCCTATCGTACTACTCACACGAGCAGACGAGAGAGAGAGAGAGAGAGAGAAAGAGAGAGAGAGAGAGAGA